GATTCTCCTGAAATGATCACAGAAGAGATTGACATCTTGGCCAAGCTCAAAAAGATGCTTGACTCTCAAGAGAAGGGCGAAGATGATGAAGTCCTCCAAACGAAAATCATCTCCCTTCTTGAGGTCTCAAAGAACTGGAATGATTGGCTTCCGGCAGTGGATGCTGAAGTCACGTCACTGTTAGAAGAGAAGGAAGCCTTCGAGGAGGGAAGTGGAGAAAGGTTGGAGGAGCTCTTGAAGGATGCAGAAAAAAGGGGCATACCAGTGGAGTTTCTCCCATCAAAGTTGGTCTGCACAAAGAAGCCAGGAAAAAGAGGTGGCCGCAACAAGATTCGATGGGTCATCTGTGGAAACTTCGAGCAGGTCAAAGAGGGAGAGAACACGTTTAGCTCTGGTGCAGATGCCTCTGCACTGCGCCTTCTGATCGTTGCGGCATCAAAATTCCAATGGGAGGCTGGGACCATTGACATCAAAACAGCCTTCCTGAATGCCACCATGTGCCCTGAAGACCAGCCAAGCTTGTTGCTGGTCAAACCTCCTATGCTGCTTTTGGAAAAGAAGTACATGAAGCCAGGAACATACTACATGCCCAAGCGCGCGGTCTATGGACTTCGCCGATCACCAAAGCTCTGGGGTGATTGCAGAGATGATGAATTGGAAGTCATGAAACTGGAAGTGGAGGAGGAAGAAGGTCAGATGACATCACTCCGACTCTGCCCTCTGGCATCAGAGCCAAACTTGTGGAGGATTGAAGCTGAGGAGAGTGAAGCTGAGTCTGACACTCAGTCGAACTTTGCTCCGCTGCCATTGAAAGGGCTCTTGATGACATATGTCGATGACATCTTGGTCACTGGAAGTCGAAAGGTGGTAGATGCCGTCATGGAAAAGATCAGAACTATCTGGACCACCTCAGAACCAGATCAAGTAGGAGAAAAGCCTATACGATTCCTAGGCGTCGAGATCTCAAAGACCTTTGATGTCACCAAGAATCGCGACGTTTGGTATGTCAACCAACAGTCCTACATCAAGGACCTTCTTGCGCAAGATCAAGAAGCTCCAGACAGAAAGATCCCAATCACAAAAGATCAGAGTCAACTTCCAGAGGAAGAAGGAAGAACACCAGAGCTGATTCGTTCAGCTCAGAAAGCCACCGGTGAGATGCTCTGGCTGGTGACACGCACCCGCTTGGACCTCATGTATGCCGTTTCAAAGATGGGCTCTTGCGTCACGAAGGCCCCTCAGAAGGTCCTCCAGATCTACCAGCAGATCAAGGGGTATCTCAAAAGCACTATGGATGAAGGCATCTGCTTTGATGCTGCTGGAGCAGAGACCTTGATGATTGAGGCCATGTCAGACGCCAGTTTTGCACCTGAAGGAGATGTCAGCCACGGAGCCTTCATCATCATGGTAGCTTCTTGCCCTGTTTTTTGGCGAAGTGGTCGTCAAAGTTTTGTGACGCTCAGCACAGCAGAAGCGGAGATGATGGAGATTGTGGAGAGCATGGTGGCTGGAGAATCAATTGGTGCCATAGCTGATGAGCTGTTTGGCCCTCTGCAGCGAAAATCTTGGACAGATTCTCAGTCTGCCCAATCAATTTTGACCACTGACGGAGGATCATGGCGCACACGTCATTTGCGACTGAGAGCATCAGCTGCCAGGAGTTCAATCTTGCAGGGCACCTGGTTTCTTCAACATGTCGCGGGAAATCAAATGATCGCTGACATTGGCACCAAGCCATTAGCTTCAGAAAGAATCAGGTACTTGAAGAAGGAGATGAACCTGGTTCAAGTACCACAACCGAAAGAGCATGAGAAGAAAGAAGAGAAGGTTTTTGAAGAAAAAGGAGAAGGCGTAGGCATTCAGAAAGCAGCAGCAGCATTGAAGCTGCTCACATTGGGTGCTGCGATCTCAGCTGCCAAAGGAGAACATGAAGAAACAGAAAAAGAAGATCAGGAAAATTCAACCCTCGAGCTCAAAGTCATGATGGTCGTTTTTGCGTTGATCATCGTGCTTCTCACGATCGTGAGCCAGCATTTGTGGAAGGTAGGAGTAAGGAGGCTGGAAATGTCTTGGTCAAACCAAGCTGGATCGTCTTCCCGAAGTCTCCCTGCAGGTGCTGCTGCTCAAAGAGAAGAAGAAGAAAAGGAAAATGGTGGTGAAGGGATGGCCGCTGTGGCAGGACAACTGTCACAGCGACCCACGTACCTCCCACCAGGCGAAGGGTCTTCTTCGCCACTTGAAGATTCAACCTCTTCATCAGAGGACACTCCGTATCGTCCATTAGATGAGCGCCACATCCCTGGGTTCGACTTGGATCGAGTCATGCAGGAGATAGCAGATGAAGAAACCAACCTCTACGAGGAAGCACAGAGAAATCCAGAAAGATTCCAGAACTATGAGAACAGCGAGGAAAGAGCTAGAGCAGCTTTCCAAGTTTTGACCACTCGGTATGGCCGAGTTTATCACTATCAGAGCCAGTGCAGGTACCTGTCGTCTGTCCAGACAGGAGCCAATCGAGAATCTGCCTGGTGTCGCATTTGCTGGGCCATTACCGCTCAAACGCGTGGACCCCCACCACCAGGAGTTCCACTTTGGATTGATCACTGGGGTGGAGATTATCATGTGGATTCAAGATGCCCACGCTGCGATCCAGAAAAGATGTTTCCAGCATGCCAAGGATGTGGTGAGAGCGCAGGTTAGATCTTTTTCCTTTTATTTGCACAATAGAAGCAGCTTGAGCCTGAATCTTGGGATGACCTCACGATATCCCAAGGGAGGAGTGCAGAATGCATTCCATTTTGACCATACCTGTCAGGCATTTTGACTTGCTGCAGATTTCACATTTGCCGATTTTCTGTAGCTGCTTTTTCTAACTCAAGCCGAGCACAACCCCGAGAAGGAAAAGTTGCAAGGTGCGAGGGAAACGGAAACTTTGCAAGGTGCGAGGGAAACGGAAACAGAGGAGACCTGCGCAAAGCAGATATAGAAAGCAAACCTGGGGTGGTTTTTAAGTACCCAAGATTGGGCATTTAACCAGAAAAACTCTGGATTTAACTGTCAAAGATTGGGATTCAACCAGCCAGAGTCAAGCGGGATCTATCGAAAATTGGGATGCAACCCCTTTCACCGACAATCCCCTGTAGGTGATTTGCTTGTTCCCCGATATTTTCCATCACTTTCCCAGAGGACCGATCAGTTTGATCAGCCACCATTTTTGGTTTTTTTGGGCCTACGGCCTCTTTGGGATAGCTGAAGAAAGACTTGGCCCCGATTCGAAGAACAACCCAAACATCATTGAACCAAATGGGCCATGGCTTCTATAGCTATGTTAAATTCCCAAAGGATATATACTTGGATGATGGGTTATACTTGGTGGTTTGTTGCTCCCCTGCTAGAAGTTTAACTGTTAGTGGCATGCGGGATACATATGACAAAACCATCCATCCCAATAACACTAAAATAGCATGGATAGAATGGTACTATATTATGAACATAATATGATATCATGCTGCTATAATGTGGGTTATGATATCATCATATGATCCTGATGCCAAATTGTACAGTGGGTCGGCATGCTGGGTCATAACATCATGTCAACTGTCATGATCGTAGTGCAGTGGAACAAGAGGATTCAAGTGGGTCAATCAAATATTCCGAACTAAATGTACCAGCTTGATTCAACTAAATAAGTTGTCCAAACTCAAACATATCTACTTATGCAACATGGAAGCAGCTATTCTGGGTCATAATAATGAGGCTCATTCACAATACATAAATTGCCAGAAATGCTGGCCTCTCAATTTACCTACTAGACATGGCGATTTTCCAGTCCGCAAACTAGCAGACGTTAGACCCAATATTCCATTCATATTCCATTCATATCCCATTGTACATTCCCTTATATATCACCAAATCACCATTTTTATAGGTGGTATAAACCATTATAAACCATTTCCCAAATGGGTGGTTTATGGCATTGTTTTACCCACATTAACCAGAGCTAAGGTGGGCCGCGGCGCGTGCACCAGAGGCGCGCGCTCCATATGCAAGGGGCGCTCAGTCGTATTTTGGTAACCTGCGGTCACTGGGGTACTCAAACCCATCTTAAAGTGGAGGCCAAACAAAACAACTTGAACCAAATTTGGTATGATAAAGTATCATTTTTAGTCAGAAATAATCATATTCTTGGAGATATTTTTGATTATTTTTGGGTCCACCATAAAAATATGGAGTTTGCTGACAGGGGCGGCCAGATTCAAGAGTTCTATCAGCCAAAAATATAGTTGGTCAAAGAAACATAATGATAGTGTTGGTTCTGCCGCTATATCCCACAAACGAAACATATTCCAGTATATCCCCATGAACCAATCCATTGATTGCCACATTTGTTGATGATCCCATTTTATCCCACTATATCCCAATTATATGCCAATATATCCCCATAAAATCCCATTATTCCCATTACATCCGCATAAATTGGTGGGGTTTTCCACTGGCTTGAAAAAACACCCGAGGCAGAGTCGCATCGCGTGTCATCCAGGGCTCAGTTGGGAAACCTTGGGGCCAAATTCATAGATACTGTGGATGGAAGAAATCCTGCACCAGTTGATAGGTGGTTTATCCCATGATTTATAGGGTTTCAACCATCGTGGTGCAGGATTTCGCAAGCATCCAGAGTAGGGGAGGGAGATGGAGGGAATAGGCTAGTGCTGTTTTCTTTTCCAGGTCCTGAGCCACTTGATCCATGTGGGCGGGTGGTCCACCAAAAAAACATCTCTTCATAAGATACCCAGATGTCTAGGATCCAGACGACTAGACAATATGTCTACAAAAACAGGCATGACATATGAGATGTCTGAGATACAACATGAATGCATCTCTGTATCATTCTGTATCTATAAATGTGAATGATGCCTTTGTAGATCGCATTTCTATGCTTTGATATTTGCAATCAGCAGATGTTCGCATCACACATCGAGAACCATGGATTCCCCATGGCCATGGCGTTGCTCACACTCGTCCCTGCGCTGGTTGCTGGAGTCTACTACCAGGCTAAGCCAGAAATTCTGATGATCTGGTGCTGGTGGGCAAGAACTGGTGATCTAAGCACGAACAGCACGATCCAAAAACCAGTTGCTTCTCATTGCTGCTGGGGTGCACCTTGAGGGGCTGCTTTGGCTGATCCTTAGGACGCCTTAAGTTGCCAATCTCCTTTACCAATGCATCCCCCCCTTTTTTTGTCTCTGGGGTTGGCTCCCAGCTTCTGTGCTTCTCCCACTTTTTTTTTCCTGGTCCCTGCTTAGCACTCGGTACCTCTCCTTAAGGGAGCGGCGCCTTGCCAGGTTTTTTTTTTGGTGGCATGCCAGCTGGCTCAGCGGCCCTTGTTTTCCTTCTGAGCCGTTATTGTGGCTTAGTGATGCTTAGTGGACTTCTGCCTCACAGATGGCGGCTCTACGGAGTTGCCAGAATGCTTCTCATTGCTTCTCAGTTCTATCATGTATCGCCAATCTTCGCCGACGGTAATGTGGTGTTTACCCAATCATAAGATATCATAAACCATCCCCAAGTCATCAAGAGTCATCAAGTCATCACCATTTTGATGCTTTTTGTTGCCATCCCCAAATATACCCAATTCTTAGACCAGTTCAACTGGTGGGTCACCGGCCCCCATGGGGTCCTTCCAGGTCTTCCGCACGCAGTGCTTCACCGTGGGTCCGGAGGCCGCGACGCGGCGTTTCGCTGCGCTTCGGGAGGTGAGTCCCGGCTCCAACGAGGACGCGGTGGAGCTGCTGGACGCGCACCACAGGAACAGATGGGTCAGAAATGGGTCAGAAGCATTGCCATATGGGGGAAGAACCATCAATGACTGTTAGACATTGCTATGACATCATAGATCCACCATCATAGAAGCATCATACCAGCTATGCATCAATGACTATTAGACATAGTATTTTATGGCATCAATTGCTATATGACATCATAGATCCAAATACCAGCTATGACTATTCTATGACTTGGGGTACCAGGGTTTTGACTCATAGCCGGAAAAAAAGAACCCAACACTATGGGAGTTAGAGGTGGAATTTGAATCCTCTGTGCTGATATTGAGGAAAGCCTCATGAATAGATCCAATACATTCTGCAAGGGTTTTGATTCAGGGTGTCTGTGTTAATATCTTTCAAAGGGATGAGTAAAATTAAAGGCGAATCTTGATTCCCGTATCAAAACATATCACAACTATGGATGTGAACTCCTGTTGATAGCGTTTTTTGTCCATACATATCCCCAAAAAAGTCAGGATTTTGAGTCTTGAGATAGTTGTAGTTGTGGAACTGTCCAGTCCACTTGTTGGTGATGTGTTTTTTCTTGGCTTCCTTGGACTTGGAAGTAGAACGATGAGCAGCTGTGAAAGCCTTGGGAAACACGTGGCAGTCTGGCAATGATTCAACTTCTTTTTCAACATTCCTCTGGCCATTCCACAGTTTGCGAACTGGAAAATCACCATGAATAAAAGAAGTAAACCATCGAACTCTTGAACTCAACAGGATGTTCATCCATTTTCAATGGCTATGTTAAATTACCAGAGCGTAACACCCCGGAATCCTTAGCCTTGGATCAAAAAGTAGAGACATTTTTTTTCACAGCGGCCACAAGGGTTCCCGATCCCTGTTGGTTAGCTATTGTTGTTGCTGCTGTTGCTGGTGCAGTTTCTAGGGGGCATGGTTCTAACATGTTCTAACTGGCTTTACCACATTCCAGTTTTGTCCAATTTCATGGCCATGTAGCTATTGGTGAATCATAGGAGCAAGCGGCCATAGCTTTTGGCATTTTACATGTACCCAATTTTGATCCAAGACCCATATAAGGCGAGACCAATCTATCTGTCGCTTAGTTTCTGGACGAAGGTTTACCGGACACCATGATTGATTCTTTAAAGTACTCTAACGATGTAGTGCTATATAAACATTTGCTGAACCCCCAATCAAAATTGTTTGAACAAAAACCAACATTTTTCAACCATCACTAGTTTTTTTTTCTACGCACACTTAACATTTTTTAAAGAAAAATACTCATCCCATCCCCCCAGGGATTCGGTTTCAGGCTTTCTCCGCCAGGGACCGGGTGCCTTTAGTCTTCCGCAACGGCAGCGCGATGCATGGCTGGGAGAGAAGTTGTTGGTCCACGGAATGCCTCCGGAAGCGCTTCGGGGATGTCAGCATCGAAGGTGGCACGGTGCCTGGTTGAACTGGGGAACATGGCATTTACCTTGTTGCCGAAAATCGTGACAAAATTAGGATATAGTGAGATATATAACCAATCATATGATGATTGTGTCTGAAACTGGGGATCTACCCGCGTGTCTTATGCCTATTGAAACTGGGTATCTAGGTTCTATATCATCAAATTTGGGATACCCTATTCTCAGACCCAAATCGTGACCGTTAAAAAAATGATGGGAGATCCCATATTTTTTCTTTCAGAAACACACTATCAATAGATTGGAAACATATAATATAACCATCCAATTGGGTATAAACATCAACACATAGGGATTCAAGCAGGATTCAATAGGGCATATGAACCATCATTCAATTTCTTCACGTATCATATAGTTTCCAAAGCGCTAAAACCAAAAAGAATGGGATATGTATGTAATTATACAGACAACACATCTAGATCTCAACCCAACAAATAGGAGATGAATTCGATTTTCTGGTTGGATTCGCTGGAGAGATGAAGTTGTCGATTTCGACCCGAAACGGGCCAATTCCAGCGGTTGTCTCATTCTTCAGTGGGCAAGACCACAGCCAAGGGGGCCCCTGACCAAGTTGGATGTTTTCCAAAACAGGGATATGGGATATTTCTCAAATGTAAGAATAAGCAACCTCTCTGAGTGTTCCTGTATATACATGTTTGTATACGGTATTGGATGAACATGCAATAGCAGCACCAAGATACTGTGAGAGGCGGTTGAGTGATTTGATAGTCTGGCTTGTGAGTCTTTCAGGGAATGGTAAACAGACTGTCACGAATACGGCGAGGGATCAAGTGGGCTACGGCGAGGGATCAAGTGGGCTTTTTGCTTAAATATACAGCAAGCATTTGCGGTCAAGAGTCATTGGCATATCAGAATGACTGGCAAGAAAGGGGCATCCAAAAACCGGACTAATTACCCCAACCCAGGACGTTTAGTTTTTCATGGCAGAATCCAATGGTCTTTTTGTTTTTGAAGACTCAAGTTGCTGGCTTTGTTGGTCAGGACCCTCTTCAGATCGCTTTTCCCCTCAGTTAATCTAATCTAGAAATGTGGACATCCACATTTTCTGGCCAGTGAGGTTCGATGCCCATAGAAGATCATAGAAGTTTATCGCTGTAAAAAAACATGTCCGCTAGTGAAACGGCGACAATTCCTCGTTGAGTTCGATGATTTCCCCCATGCCATTTCCCACATACACAGATGCCGATGACTCGTTCGGGGATTTCCCAGCTATGGAGCTGATGACACCCAGAGGGTATGAATTACCCTCAAATTTAACATAGCTATTGAAAATGGCAATTTATAGTGAGTTTTCCCATTAAACATGGTGATTTTCCATAGTTATGTTGGTTTACCAGATGGTAACCCCACATCAGGCCTGGTGGGAAAATCCCTGTCGCAGGTGGATACTCTGCCACTTTGGAAGATTATTTGGACACCTTCTTCGATGGTGAAGATCCGCCCCTGGTGAAGGTCGGTTGTAAATTGACCGGGGAGACGGAGAAAAGACGCTGTGGATCCCAAGAAAAGCCAGCCGTTTTGTATCATGGGATGATTGGGATGATTGGGATGGGAGATATTGAGATCATATACAACCAATCCCCCTACAATTAGTAAGCTCCATTTTCAGCGTAGAAAGGAAAATCTCGAATCCCTCCTGTATCCCATGACCCCCATGATGTATTGTAGGGTCTTAATGCACAGCAGTTTTCTTTTGAGAGTTTAGCCCCTCTTTCTGAAAATCCGTGGCCATAATCAGGAGAAGTGCCTGAAGACCCTGAAGGGAGAGGCGCCGCCATGCACAATGCAGGCGGGGGCGCCCTTCTGCACAAGGCCCTGTTTGATCAATGCAACCCTGAACTTTGGCATAGTGGTGGAGTCTTGGATCCGGTGGTGGAGCTAGGCAGCTAGGGGTGTCCCTACTTGGTGGCGAACTACCCACGAATCGTAAGTGATTATTATAACCCCAGTGATTTACATGGGATAAGTAGGGTTAATCCACTTATAACTGGGGTGAACTAACCCACTTACGAGCAGTGGGATGAGCCACCAAGTATTCCCTATCAACGGAGCTACGAGCAACTGAGAGTTTTGGCTTGGAATCACCAATGGAAGGGGATGGTCGCTGTGCGCTTGCGGAATTTGAGGACTTCCACACCCAGCTTCAGTCCGTTGAAAATTTTGCATTTGGAGGTTCAATCATTTTCACAACCCAGGATTGGATTTTCTACATTTTCTAACATGTCCGTATTCTATTTGCCAAAATGGTTTCAGATTCATTCAAGCATTGTCAGTGTTGATTCTGTTCAGGAAACAAACAATAATGATGATAGTTAATGTGATGATTGACTATGTTGATTCGTAGTATTACTGTATCGGACATTGATATTTGAATCTATATATGGTTATACAATTACTCTTATCAAATTGGTGATCTTGATCAAAAACGATAATGGTCATGATTATGCTGATGGTGAAAGTGTTGTTCTTGTTCTTGTTCTTGTTGTTGTTGTTGTTGATGATGTATACATTCATGTATATATAATATATATATATATTATGATAATATCTAGATCTAGATCTAGATATAGACTTAGATGTACACAGACACACACACACACACATATATATATATATCTGTATATATGCATATGTACATGAACATTAAGGATAAACACTCACTCTCATTCCTAGGACTCCGATCCACCCTTCGACGACGTTTTGGAAGAGACCTTGAGTTCCTTGCCCCTCCTCCGAGCTCGAGCCCAACGAGGTGGGAGCCATCCGTGGAGCCACATGGGAGCGAATGGCCATCAACCATTGGATGTGTAGTTTTTTTCCTTTTTTTTGGGGGGGTACCCTCTGGTAAATTAACATAACTATGGAAAATCACCATGCTATTAATGGGAAAATCCACTATAAATGGCCATGTTCAATAGCTATGTTAAATTACCAGAGGGTATTTTTTGATATATTGAAAGCAACCATCCAACATTTATGGAACTCCCAGCTTGTTGGGAAGTCTTGGCCGTTGATTGGAGCAGTCTTGGTCGTTGGGGGAGAAGTCTAGACATGAAAAACCTGTGGTATCTTGGAAGAAGTTGGCGATGGAGCAGTTTCTGCATGCTGCAGCCACAGTTTCGTCCTCGATGGGATGCTTTCTTTATGGCCGGAATGCCTGAAATCATCCGTGTACAATGAGCCACAAGACTCCTCTCCGACGAGCCGTAAGACTCTTCAGGCTCAAGAAGAGTTGTTTCGCTATACCAATTCTCAAGAAGCAGATTCTTTTCTCACCAAAAGTGAAGGACAGGATAGGACAGGTTTGCAGATTGAATTTGGTCGAGATAGCTGCTTGTGCCATGTGATGGTAAGCACAAACCAGCTATTTTCTGCTTCGACGTGGCAATCCCCGTGACCCTCCACATTGAACTTGCTGAGGCGATAAATTTCATTGGTCGAGAGTGTATGGATCCACCATTCATGTCTTACTGGTGCTTAGTAGGGAATGGATGGGTTGCTGGGGGAATGGGATGATTATTACTAGTGATTATGGATCATTCCCGAAAATTCCCTAATTCCCTGCTAAGCACCAGTAAGATGTTGGCCACACGCCCCAAGAAAAACACTGGTTTTTCGTCGGATGACCAACAAGTTTTTTTTGCAACTGTCGAACAACAATTTATACACCAACCGCGAAAGATCCCTACTGTCAGAACAACCACCGGCTTTGGGTTGCATTTCCATTTCCGCGAATATTGTCCTCTGTTGGTCATGGATATACAACCCTGGCAGATTTTAAACATTTCTGCGGTCATCTCCCATCAAACATGGTGGGTTGTATTTGCATGTACTTGGTGGCCAGTTTTGGAGGGTCACATCCCCACTTTTGCTGGTAAAACCGCCTTAAAACCCTTCTGAAAGACCGAAATCCGGGCAGCAAACTTCGAAATGTCTCCCAGTGAAATCCACAATGGGTTTGTTTGAAAATAGTGTACCCTTGAATCCATTGGATTCTCAGATTTGCTAAAAATCCATTGACACCCAAATTCCTGCGAAATGTCGTTCGCGCCAGGCGATGGTCTGCTGGCGCGGCTGGTCACATGGCTAGTGCCCTCTACGGTGGGTTTCGCCCCATCGGCGGATTGGGTCGAGGCAGTGCTTTGGCTCAGCCCAGCCGGGGCGCGGACAGGAGACATTTTACCGTGCGGGAAGATGTGAGACCTACCATACTATAAAGATGGGAACTTGATGGGATTCCATAGGTGTTTATTGGGAGATTTCATGCCATTGGGAACAATAGGATGATTTAAACATAGCCACTTATTTTGGAAAAGGATGATATTCAACGGGGATATTTGATATTATGGGATCTATTTCGCCCATCATATGATGCTTGGGCATGTCGGAAAATGGAGGATTTGATGATTAACGATGGGATTTGGGGCGGATCCACACCAGGATTTTGGGTGATTTTTCCCATAAACCAATCCGCCCTTGAGGGAAGGCCAAGAATAAACCCATGCTTGATTGAACTAGCTTCTAGCTTCAGCATACTTGACTTCATTAGCTTCAAATTGCGATTTCACTATATAGTTTGCTTCTAGATAGAACTAAATTGGGTTTACTATACCGTAATTGTGTTATATATTTTAATTGCAAAGTCTAGATTCTAGATTGGGGTATTTATAGGCCGACTACAATCGCTGGCTTCCTGGCCCATGATTGTGGGTTTTAGGGATGGAAAGGGAGGAAGGTACATCATCCACTTCAGGATCCACACCTTGTCAAATCCCCTGGGTTTTCTTGTTGCCCACAAGTGGGTTTTTGCGGTGTGAATGCCCTGAACTGCTCAAGGTAGTTGCAAAGGTACTGTTGATGTCTCCATCGTGCCCCACATGACCATGGGGAATGTCCGGATTTCCAGGACTACACCAAGACGACGAGCCATGCTCTGTCTTGTACCAGGCCAGTGATTGGGCCATACTATGTTTCATACTATGTTTCAATGTTTATTTTTTCATTCAGATTGGGAACCCTGCAAATCAACAATTGTGTAGTACCCGGCCTAGAAAGAAGGCTTTGAAGCGCTTCTGTAGTTTAGTGTTTTGGACTTTGACGACTTTAGGGTTTGATTATGTGAGGGTTTGCTGTAGTGTTTGGCCAAAGTTGGAGGTTTGTCTGCAGTCAGCTCCCTCAATTGGATCCATAATTGGAAATCCTTGGCTGTCCCACCAAATGTTAAACCCGTCCAGGTTAAAAAAAGATAGTCCCAAACCGTATTAGGGTTTAAGGTTTAGAGTCTACGGCTCTGTTTGACAAAGATAGTCTTCCTTGGGTTGGTTTTCTTGGTTGCCTCACCCCACCCAGCCGTTGGTCTAAAGTCAGTTGTTTTCCTTCGACTTATTTTTTCTTTGTTCTTTTTTGCAGGCTTCCACTGGAAATCTGTAAAATAATGAAACATGTGAAAATAACGTGAAACGCAAGGAAACAAAATGTAAAGGAAATGTGATGAAAAAGGCGACCACTGGAAACACATGAAAACACACATTTAAAAACAGGTAGAAAAACCGGGGAAATAAAAGTAAACAAAAAGTGAAAACAATAGTGAAAAAGGTGAAAGAAATCAAAAAGCCGAACAAAAGGAGAACTCAATGGGAACAAACACATACCAAAACACATGGATGGCTCAGCCCCGGTCATGTGCAAGCTGCAACCACCATGAATGTGAACAACACGGCCGCACCAGGAAGTGGTGCCGGGGCAGCCGAGCAATCTGGCAAGGAAGTTTGAACATTGTCATAAAGGGATGAGCAAAAGAATCGGTCATCTCTCCTCCTTCCACCCCTTTCCCACCATTTCTCACATCCTTCCCCTTGCATTCCTTTCTTCTCCCTTCCCCCTTCCTTTCCCTTTCCCTTTCCCCTTCCTTTCCCTTTCTCTTTCCTTTCCCTTTCTCTTTCCTTTCCCTTTCCCTTTCTCTTTCCTTTCCCTTTCTCTTTCCTTTCCCTTTCCCTCTCCGGTCCCTTTCCACTCCCTGGCCCTTTCCCTGTCTTTCTGCTCCTTTTCTCTTTCTTTTCCCTTCCCTTATTTCTTACGTGTCCGCACCAAACTCACTCGCAAACAGCAATTCTGGGAGCGTGCTCCATGGTTTCACAAAATCTTTGCAGCCAAGAAACTGAAGCTTTGGATGTTCATTCAAGGAGTGGTGCATTTTGGAGGGAGGTTGGCACCATAGAGCACTGGCAAGCATGCTGGACGTTGCACTTTTTGACAAGGACGTTGCCAGATTAATGAATTTCCAACTTCAGTTTTGTGACTGGAAATGCTCTGTCGCACGCGGCCAGGTGTATGGTCGGAAGCGTTTGCGGCTCTTCTCTCCTGTGGATACTAAGCACTTGAAGGCCAACGAACAGCCCCATTGTTGCTGGTACTTGAGCAGGGGCCCAGTTTGGGGCCCCAAATGATGATAGTCTTTATCTGAAACTGGATCCTCAAATCAAATCTCTACAGTAGTTTGAGGACCAAAGGAAAACATAGAGGAAGCGTAGATAACACATAGATAAAACATAGACAACGGTCAGATCAACTTGGTTGCTTGTGTTTTGGAGAACATTTTTTGTGGATAATTAGCAGTTGGTCCCTTGCATTTGGGCCGAGTCCATCTCACATGGTGCCTTGGACGTCTTGGACATCTGATTTGGAGATGGTATTAAACCACTCATTTCTGGTGATTTTTTTCGCAGTGGTTATCACTTGTAGCATAGCAGCATATGTTTTTCATCATTCACTCTACCCTCTGGTAATTTAACATAGCTATTGAAAATGGCCATTTATAGTGAGTTTTCCCATTAATAGCATGGTGATTTTCCATAGTTATGTTAAATTACCAGAGGGTACACAACCATTTTGATCCATGTGTGAAAAACAGGCGAAATCCCAGTCCGAACTCTGAGGCTTGGGCGAACATGGAACTTTGGCATCAACGATTGAAAGATGGGGGAAATTCCAAATTGCCTGGAAGTATTGGTTGAATTATTGGAACCCCAAATGATTTGGAGTTTAGTGGAACTAAATGGCCGTCTTATTGGTGGAGGAATGCTGGGATTCAGGATTCAATGCATGATCCATGTTAGCACATGTGTATTGATGCTGTTAGCATCTGTTAGCTATATCTTTTTAAATGGGTTTGATTCTTCTTTTTGTGTTTTGCATTTTACTGCACATGGGCCACATGGGTTTTTAGGGATAGTTGATGCTGTAGCTGTCTGTATGGTGAAACAGAATCCCTTGATTCAAATCTCAGAGAAACCAGCTGTACGAATGGCAACAAAAAGGGCTCAGAATCATCGATGGCATTGGGGCTTTGCTTGGTACTCCACTAGGGGGTATACCACTATATATATAATATAATATGTATATGTATATATATATAATATGTTATGTGTCAACTAGGTGTGTATATATATATATACATACATACATATACACATTTATGTGATATACACAGGATGCACATATTTATACATTGTATATATATATATATGTCATATATTTATACCGGGGCCCCTCGGCGCTGAGGAACGCGCTACTCCCAGCTGACCTGGGAAGAACTGGACAGCTTGGAGTCTTCGCAACCCTTGGAGGTAGTTCTGGCAGCAGGCGCGGATGGCCAAACATTGGGCCGCTGCGTGGTGGTTTATAGGGTCCAATAACTATGGTTTATGGGTGATATAATGTGATATATCTATAATTAATATTAATTAATGGGATTATAATCTGGTTGATGGTGACTGGAACATGGCTTTTATTTTCCATAAAATATGGGATGTCATCCTTCCCATGGACGTTCATATTTTTCAGCGGGGTAGGTCAACCACCAACCATTGGGTCATTGACCGATGTCTTCCTGGGAAAATGGGGCAATATATGGGCAATCGTTGGGTCTGGGTGTTTTATCATGAAAGCAAAGGAGTTCACTAGGAAATTGTGATACTGTGGATGGAAGAAATCTTGCACCACCTTGGATGGTTGAAACCCTATAAACAATGGGATAAACCACCTATCAACTGGTGCAAGATTTCTTCCATCCACAGTATCATGGGGATATTATGTTTTTTTTTTTGCTGGAGTAAACATATAAAGAAATGCGGAAAACCAATGGTTTCCCATTGGGAAAATGACCTACAAATGGGAGATGTTCCACATCTATGTTGGTTTAAAGGAGTGCAATGGGAAGATATATGACCAACCATTGGGATTGGGGCGATTTATCATCTGAATCTAAAGATAAGGATTTAACTAGGACAATTATGATGTAGTGGGGTTGTGGGATATGTTTCACCATCCACATGATATTTGGGTCTGCAAATGGGGGGATTAATCCTGAAAACGGCAGCCAGGGGCCGAAGCTGGTGAGCAGCCATGACTTTTCGGGCTACCATCAAACCAACCCAGTTGGGTCCATGATTCGTGGAAGATTTTAGTGACCATAGAGAGGATGGTGGATGGGGTCAATGGCTTCTTTCCCGGAAAAACAATCATCAATTTTCACAATCAAGTTTCCAACATCATGATAGCAAGCAAACCGGTAGATTTGCCATTGCCATAATAGATGGCTCCCTGGTATGGCTGGTCCGTGAAATGCTGAAAAGATGAAAACGATCTCAAGGGAACAAGGGCAACCCCATGAGAACGAGACCAGCCACATATGAATCGTCTACAAGTTAATCTACTATCTGCAGTGATAAATCAGTTCTATAAATATATATATATATATCCATATATATATATATACATATATATATATATTTGGAAACCGGTGTCATCCACCAACCGTCTATAAACCATAAAGTACCCATCTACCAGCCATCAACCAACCATGTACCAATCATCCACCGAGCATTTTCTTTGCCAACCCACCAATTACCAGCATTCATACGGCCATTGATAAGGGTTTATGTTCAGGGCCTACTGGCCTAGTAACCACCACCAACCAGGTTTATAAGGGCGACTATTCAACATATAGTGTTGAAGGGTTCAACTTTTTGGGCTGCTGAATCAGCAAAATCAACCCATTGATCATCCATAAATCCCATGTTCCATGCTCAACTCCCTATTTTCCCTGGTTGAATCATCATTTTATATGGTAAATCCCACGAATCTTTCCACCTTTGGTCTTCCATTGGGCAGGGGATGCCATCTTCATCCCCAACGGTTGGTGGCACGCGGTCGAAGCCTTGGGTCCCGGCCCTGCGGTGTCCATCAGCGGGAGGGGCCTCACCTTCTGCGAGGGCGTGGCGTTTTTGTGCCTTTCAAGATGGGGCTGGGTGGGGTTGGGTATGGTTCGGCGACGGGTTTTATAGCATTTTATGGTGACTATTAATTATTCTATAGTCTATATATAGTATTTTTTGAAAAACTGTTGTTTGTATTATCGTTTTTTTTGGAATGTTCAATCTTAAGTCTTATGTGTTTTTTTTTGGCATGTAAAACAGGGTTAGGTGATATATAATGTGGATATGATGGGGGTGTAACTGATGCAAGAATAAGATGGATACTTTCTGGGTAAGGGGTTGAGCATATGGGACTTCGGCAAACTGTAGTGGCAGTCTTTTGGATCATGACAGAACATATTGTTTGAGAAAATGAAACCTGCTGTTGGCTAGAACTCTGAGTGAATTAATGTGGGATTCACCCAATTCCATCGTCGCCATCCCCAATGACTTGCCATAAACGGATAGTTTTTTCCCATCCCTGACTGGTAGGCAGGTTCATGGTATTGGGTTAGTTGGGTGACTCGCACATTACCCAGGCCTAGGCTTCCCGCTTTGCGCTTAGGCCATTTTGGGTAGCCATTTTGATGCAACTGGGCAGTGAAGTGGGGTTAGTTCCAGTGGGGTTTTGCTGATTGGAGTTAGTTTCAACAAATCCAGAGATAACTGTGATTGGAGCAGAATCTCTGAGTTCCATCAGTTTGCACATCAATTGGAGCATGATCTTTGGAACGACACCCCGCAGTATTTATCACATGTTCTGAGGCAACAGAAGCTGTTGATACCGGAGAACCGAGCTGTTTGGTTGCCGCACATTTTGGCGCTGGTCCTACCATTTGTCCCGACCTGGGTCCTCATGTCCACACTGTCCACGGTGCGGCGGTGTTTCGGAACGTGGAGATCTGAGAACACGCCACTTGGGGTGGAACGAAAAGAGAAGTGAATGGCACTCTCCCGAGAAGATTGGAACGGTTGAACAGTTGCTGGCACTGGCTCGGCCATGACAGCGACGACATTTCAACGTGATGCACATGGTACTGGTAAGGCAGGAGCACCCGCTCAAGGTTCGCATTGGTTTCCTCGGCCCCGACGTCAGTATGTTCCACCAGGAAGACTGGGTACATTTGGGTATGCCCCGCGCAAAATCAAGACCGCAAGTTCTTGACAAACACTTGAATATCCTGACCAGTTTGTTTTTTTCGTTTGAGACAACAGTGGAGCAGAGCTTTCAAGACCAGGGCCCATTCTGGAACATAAAACCCACCTGAACTGACAGGTGGCAAGCTGCGATCAAGCGTCGGTGGCAGAATGGCAGGATGATCCCAATTGACCAAGCGAAGCCTTTTGTGAATGAACAAATTGGGCCTCCAGAATCAACCTGCAGAAACCCAGATGGTGGCGACCAATCAATTCCGTGACTGATGAAACTTGGGGAGATCCCCAATTCCGTGCCAAAAACAGATCGAACCTTTCCGGATCTCAATTCGGAGAAGCAGCTGAATGAATATCGGATGTGCTTCCTGAAAAAGACAGCGAGAGCGAGAACTTAATCCTTCCGCCGCTCGTCCTGTTCCAATTCTTGCTTCTTAGATTGGCATTTTCCTTTGCTAAAGTCCATTGTTTTGATTTGTGTCACATCACCCTTCTTCTTGGTCAATTTCCCCTTTTTCAGAGGCCAATTCTGGAGATTCCATCGTCGCTGCTGTCACTCTAGGCCATCAGGGTCGACATCTAGCATGCCGGTGTGCGGGTGCCAAGAAAACATTGTATCGTGACTTTCGCGGGTTGTGATCCAGGACGAAATCGTAAGTCATCTTAGGTACTTGTAGAAGTTGGGATGATAGTTGAGATGATAGTTGGGGATATCCAGCAAAACTTCCTTGGCTTAAAAAACTCGAGAACTATCTAATTCTTGTGGGATAGTCATGTAGAAATGAGCAGACGGGGGGGTTTTGCCTCGTGGCATTCGAGATTACCACAGAACAAATGATAGGGACTTGGGGTGGATCCCACTTTCTGGGTCAAAGTGACTCATTTCTTGTGCTCGAACCATGCATTTCTTTTAGGCTACACTGGTACACCCAACTTTGACCCATACTTGGGCAGTTGAACTTAATGTATAAGTCGGTATACTACCGGGGTTATATGACAAACTATGGGCGTTGTTGTGATCGGTGAATAAGACCAACTGCACCCCCAAGTACTAAACTGTACTCACATCCCAGGTATCAGTGATCAGACTCATTCTTAACGTGCTAAGTTCAGGATGCCTATCAATACTATCAGCTGATCCTGGGTTGCCTCCGAATGCGGTGATGATAGGTCTGCAGGTGCTCAAAATGGACTATTAGTTTGGGAGGATTTAGGACCCTCAAGTCATAGCTTGAAAGACATACATGCAATATTTATATTCTATTTCCACCTGAAGAAGCAAGACAAGGGCAACAAGTGCACCCTTGATTTGTCTCAGGTGGGCCAATGGTGGGAGCAGTGGCGGGAGCCAAGGTGGGAACCATTGCTTCGTGAAGTGGCTTGCTGGATGAAAAGTGCAGCTCTCCAGAATCCAGATGTGTATAGGGTCAGAAGCTGGTTAAAACAATGATAAACCATCCCCCAGTCATCACCATTTTTATAGGTGGTACGGTTACCATTCCCAGTCATGGGGGGTAAAAATGGCATTGTTTTAACCACACTATTGCTGGTCTGAAGATCTTTGACTTCGGAGGTCGCGGTGCTATCAAGAGCCCGTAGTGATCTCAGGGGTTTCCATGGTGCGGGAGGGTTCCCAGTGGCCAGACCCTTTGGGTTGGTGAAGTATCATGTTTTGTTGCGGCGTGAATTCTTCGGCCATGGAGGAATAGATGGAGGAATAGATGATGCCCTGAGAAATGAGCTCTTTTTTGCAATCCAAGATTGAGGTAAGCCATAGAAAAGCTTCGATTTCATAGACTTTGTCTCTGTGAAACCACTTGGATAAACATGATGTCAGCAAAAACACCAGCCAAATGCTCTGGTTTTGGGATTTTTTTTTGTTTTCGAGCTCATTTTCCTCATCAAAATTTGGTGATTTTGCGCTATGCCGGTTGGAAAAACCCGCAGTGGGACATTCATGTGGTATCCTTTGGATCCAGAAGATCGGCCCAAGTATTGTGGTACACCAAAAAAAAACATCTGGGGGTATTGCACACCTCCAAAGAAACATGGTTTATCATGTGGTTTACTACATTGACTGGGCATATGCGGCATATATGTATAGACAGGACATACACAAATAAACTGTATACTCAGTAAATGAACGATTGTCGGACACATGACTAGCGAAATGTATCAATCAAATACATGACTTTGCTATATATATATAGGTAGATCAACGCATAACTAAAAATAGTAGATAGATAAATCATTACATGAACTCAATAAGTAAATATATAGCTAGACACCTGAACTTATAGCCAGTTACCACCAGCGGGTTGCATGACTTCTGCGTGGCAATAAGGCAGAGGCACGGCAGTGAGGCTGGGATCGTTGGCCCCGTCAACATAGTGTGACACTGCAGGGTTTACTTGGGATGTCCAGGAGACATTGAGCCAGCGGCAGACCAGGCTGGATGGGAAACGGGATGATGGTTAAAATAATTAGTGAAGATTTCACGTTTCTATCTTTCTTTTGGGGGTTACCATCTGGTAAACTAACATAGCTATGGAAGCCATGGCCCATAGAAATAGATGGTTTACCTATTAATAGCATGGTGATTTTCTATAGCTATATTCAAATACCAGAGGGTATATATTTTTGGGGTTTATAATATTTTAACCCAGATAGAATCCCCATAAAATATACACACTTTCTTTTGGGGGTTTTGTCATGTAAGATCCACATCTTTGGTTCCTGTTGATTCTCAGGTCACCCACCCAAAGCGCTCAGCGGATTCCCGTGCGCACCCTGCCCGGGAGCGGGATGTCGCGACGTTGCGAGCAACCGGGCTGGGGGAGGTTTAGTGGGTTTGTTTTAGATGATTTTTGATTCCTAGGAAATCATAGACACTATAGAAACTATAGGACATACATCACTAAATTTCCGGGGGAAATCCATCATTTCGGAAATCCCACTAGAAACTGACATACGAATCATGTTGTTTGAGCCGAATCCAGGTCGTCACCGGTCTATCACCCCCAGAAACTGTGGTGGATGTGGGGGATAAAGCCACATATTTGGGACTGTAGAATGAGGGCGTTTAATATTGGGGTGAGATTAGAGGATACAGAGAATGAACAGATCATTAACGCAGACCAAGCATTGCAACAAGCACACTGCACCCTATCTTTTTTTTTTGTCATGGAATCTGCGAAGCAATAGTCACCGGTGCGCCTTGGACGTCATCCCTTCATCAGATCCATAAGATCCTGGAGTCGCTTAAGCGCTGGATGAAAAGTAGGGGGACCCATAAAGGGAGAGGTCTTGTTGGCTATCGACCAGTGTGAAAAAATATCTTCTCCCTGGTAGAAACGAATCACATAGAACTGATTTATGCGCTTTTTTCTGATGTGGGGGGGGAGGGATTTTGCCGATCTATTCCCGGGAAATAGTCTAACCCGTCTAACCCCAGTTTTGCAGATTACACATTGCCCATTTTGGTTGGTCATCCCCCCACATTATGATCTTGGAATGGGATTGTTCATTCTGACCCTAGGTTGACAGGTATTGTATCCAGTCAATGGAAAATAGGTTTTTGATATCAACTCACGATATCAATTCACGGATGATTTCCGCAGTCAACGTGGGGTTTTCCATTGACATGTTAGACTAACCAGAGGGTATTACCAGAAGTTATTACTGGTCACATCTTCATTTTATCATTTGTTTCATGGTTGAATCTCTATCCTTGGAGCATCCCCCTTGCCACTTAGAGATGGTTTATGACAGGTTTTTCTTTCATTTGGGGAGTTGGAGGGACTTGGGATATGCTCCAGAGGTAAATCTCATGATATTCCAACGAGAATCCCAACGAGAATCCCTTCAACTTCCCAGTCCACAATTTTCCCCACTTACCTTCTGGTAAACTAACATAGCTATGGAAAACCATCATTTTTCACAGGTAAATCCACTATAGATGGCAATTTTCAATAGCTATGTTAGTCATTCCCAGATGGTAAATCACCGTTTTTCATGGAGCACCATCTCTTGATGCGGTGCTGGACCACCCAAAAGCACCAGGACGGGTCCTCAATCTGCGCCAAGACGGCGCGGGACCAGCCAAGACTCAGGCCAGTCATGGAAATTGCCGGCTTAGAATTGGTGATTGACCACCAAAAACCTGGGATTTTCATAGGATTTTCATGGCTTTTTTACTCCAAAATGAGGGAAAGATGGGGATGTGCCCCTGTGCAACATGCTGGTGGGATCCATCGCAGCCTCAAAGAGGCCACGGGCCGATGGCGACCATGGCTTCGGCGCCGGGCAGTGCCAAGGCCGTTGGCCATGGCCGTTTCATGGGGGGAAAATGATGATCAGCGGTGGGTTTGAATGGGGAATTGTATAGGGGAGATATAGGATGGATGATGATCCTTTTAATGGTTGATCATCATATCATATTTTCATGTTGATCCCCCAAAAAATAAACATGATCCCCATATAATATGATCAGCATTCATATATGTGCATGATGATCCCCATATATAAACAGCTTTTTGTTTTTTCCTTTTAATGTTTTTGGGGATATGAATGCTTATGAATGGGGATATATAATGGGGATGGTGGGATATACCAACGAAGTATGGCTAGGGCTGCCGGCTGCGTCCTTGAAATGGTTAATTTACTATCAAAAGAGCGGGGATGTAACTATTAAAAGGAGGATACCGAGGAACTATATAACCAACCATATCCAAACAGGCTTGTCGGTATACATGATTTATGTCAACTTTCAATGTTTTTCCAACCATTTAGATTTTGGGGGTATCCTATTCTTGAACAAACCCAGCTGGCACATGGATGGTGACCCGCCCCCCAACATATGGTATCATAGGAATTGACTCATCCTATCCCATCTCCATTTTGTGATTCTCTGGCCGCAATCTTTCGCTGGTTTCTGTGGCTTCAACTAGTATCACTTTTCCGCCTTGGCAAACATGATCCTCAATTTGAGGAGGGTTCTTGTATTTGTCAACACCACTAAACCAGTTGTAAAAATACTTCTACTGATTTGTGGCATGGTTACAGTTGGCCATAACTGCTGTTGAGTGGTACTTAATTTTGATCACAACCCATGTATAATATATTCAGAAACCCATTCACTGTAACCGTGATGGGATGATCCTCAACCCAACGTAGCGAAGTCCTGAATAAGGCATTTGAACTTAGGTAATGTCATGATATCGCAGGGCAAAGCGGGTCCCATAAAACAAACATTTGAAGAGCCTAGGGTCATCCATATATGCGTAGTGGCATAGATATCATCATATTCATACATACTTTCATGTAGTATATCATTATTACCTTACGTCGAGGCCCAAGAGCGCCCAATGAG